CTCACTCTACAGCTGCACTTCAGAGACGGTTAGCGCTGTTTTGTAGGGTGAGAGTCGTCGTGTGAACATCAGATGACGTGTTCTACTCACTCTCCAGCATCTCCCCCCTCCCACCCCAAAGAACTGTCAACTTATAGAATGTCACAAATCCCTCTAAAATTTACCTAAGCTTGGACTCTTTCTATTTCTGATTACTTGCCATTAGTGGATCTTTCAAAAACTAGCACCACATTAGAATTACATCTTTCCGACTTAGAATTTCCATGAGGGAGAGCAAATATTTTTTTTCTTTCTTTTTTTATAGCAAAGGTGGAGATTTTATTGAAGAACAAGTACAGACTCCCACACAGGGAGGGGGAGAGAGTCCCGTTTTTATTTCTTTGTCCCCAGAATGCATAGCCGCGCTTTTTTTCTCTTTCTTTAATGCTTTGGGATTAAGATGGCTTCAGGGGAAAAGCATTTCTTCAGGCTTGTGTTGCTGTTGGGCTGATTTTCAGAATGTCAGGCTCACGTGCCAGTTCCCGATGGAGTACTTTGAAGAGCAGCTAACGACTGTGAATGGATCTTACCACGTAGTGAAAACCGTGAAAGATGGTGTCGTGGTGATAAGTGCCTGCCTGACTTCCATCCTTTCCCAGGTAGGAACCAGGAGGACTTCTTTGAATTCTGAGAATACCCATGACTCTTGGTAACCCTTGTTTTGCAAGCAGGTATATGGCATATCCCACCTTTATCTTTCACAAAAAATAAAAAACAGATAAACAGCTCTGGTCGAGTGGCTCACTTGGTTGGAGCATGGTCCCGTACACCAAAAGGGTACGGGTTCGATTTTCAGTCAGGGCACACATATCTAGGTTATGGCTTGATCTCGAGTCATGGGGTACACAAGAGACAACTCTTACCTCCCATATCAATGTTTCTCTCTGTCCCTCTCTTCTTTCTCCCTTCTTCTCTCTCTAAAATCAATAAACATATCCTTAGGTGAAGATAAAAAACACACCAAAAAAACTGATAAACAGTATACTTAGAAGTTTATACCTCTATAAATTTTCTATCCCAATCTGTGTTATTGCATGTATCTACATTTTATGGTTATTGTGTATTTATATCATTTGAAGTTCCTTTATATATTTTTATTGGTTTCAGAGAGGGAGAAAGAGATAGAAACATCAATGATGAGAGAGAATCATTGATTGTCTGCCTCCTGCAGGCCCCCTACTGGGTATCGAGCCTGCAACCTGGGCATGTGCCCTGACTGGGAATTGAACCATGACCTCCTGGTTCAGAGGTCAGTACTCAATCACTGTCCCACGCCTGCCAGGCTCCGCCCAGCATCTTTAAATGTTCTCTTTCTTTTATTATGAGTAGTTTGTAACATCCCTTTGCCTTTAGAGTTCATGTACTTAACTGATGAGTGTTGAAGGGTCTTTCTTTCTGAAACTATGATTTCCTTCCCTATGTTGATAAAACTTTTACTTCAGGAAACTTGAACTACTTTCTCTGATTGTGATACTTATTTTGGGCTTAGCAAAATTCCTTTCATTATTAATGAACCACAGTAGTTGTGCTTTTTTAATGAATAGGGACATTTATTTCTTTTATATATAGAAACTGGTTGAGTAATTCATTAGCACACCATGTTCTGGTGCTTTGAATATGAATGTGTATTATATGAAGAATCCTCCTAAAAGTTCTTTTGCTCCCTTTTTTCTGCTCTTCTAGAACAAAAATATTCAACCTATAAAACTTCCAGGTTTACATCAGCAAGAAGTGAAGATTTATTTACCCATCAAGCTAACCCCCAACTACTTGGCATTTCCTCATCATCCTATGGGAATGTTATATCGTTATAAAGTACAAGTATGTTGTCTTATAAAATGAGGTTTCACAAAGAGATAAGTCAGTTTCTTTGATAGCTTAATTTATTGAAATTTGGCTAATGTTAAATTCATTTTCCCCTAGTCCTAATAGTATAACTCAGTTTTTGGTGACAGCCAAATTATGCTCTTGAATACTGTCATCCTTACAAAACTTGGTATACTTTCTGTCTCTCCTCCATTTATTCTTTCCTTGTGAGTTTTATTTTTCCCCCCTAAATATGTTTTTAGTTATTTTAGAGAGAGATGAAGGGAGAGGGGGAGAGAGAGAGAAATATCAAAGATGAAAGAGAAGCATCAATTGTCTGCCTCTTGCATGCCCCCTAGTGGGGATTGAGCCAGCAAACCGGGCATGTGCTCTCACCTGGAACCGAACTGTGACCTCCTGGTTCATGGGTCAATACTCAACCACTGAACCACACTAGCCAGGCTCCTTGTGAGTTTTATAAGTTTTGTTAAGCTTCTTTGTGCCCTTTTTGACATTTTGTGAGACTGCCATTAATAATCTCCTTTTAGCACTTATCTTCCCCTTTTTACTGTAACATCAGTTTCCTCATGTGTCCAGAAATAATTTATTATATATTTTTAGTATTTCTTAAACTTTTTTACATCTCCATTTAAATTACATTTTTCTTCTATAGTAATTAAATATAAGGCTGTATTTTTTCACAGGTAGAGGGTGGCAGTGGCAACTTCACCTGGGCCTCTTCTAACGAAACAGTGGCCATGGTAACCACAAAAGGAGTGGTGACTGCTGGTCAGGTCAGAGGCAACAGTACTGTTGTGGCCCGAGATGTACAGAATCCTTTTCGATACGGAGAAATGAAGGTAAACAACCCTCCAAAGAGCTTCCTTATTACTCCTGAGATACTACTGCCTACATTTATTTCTTTTCTTTTCTTTGCTGTCTAAGAAGAAGGGAGAGGGAGAAAGAGATAGAAACATCAATGATGAAAGAGAATCATCTATCGGCTGCCTCCTGCATACCCCCCACTGGGGACCAAGCCCACAACCTGGGCATGTGTGCTGACTGGAAATCGAACCATGACCTTTCGGTTCATAACTTTTTTTTAATTGTTTTATTGCTTAATGTATTACAAACAATATTACATATGTCTCCTTTCCCCCCCCCCCCCTGCCCTTGACAATCCCCTGGCCTCCCCTACCCCCAGTGTCTTATGTCCATTGGTTATGCTTATATGCATGCATACAAGTCCTTCGGTTGATCTCTTACCCGCCCCCCCCCTCAGTTCATAACTTGATGCTCAACTGCTGAGCCACGCTGGCTGGACTGACATAACTTGCTTGAATGATTAATTTTCCCCCCTCTAGATATATGTCCTGAAACTGAACAAAATTGAACTGTTACCATATCGTGCTGATGTGGAGATTGGCCAGCTTATAGAAATCCCCATTGCTATGTATCACATAAACAAGGAGACCAGAGAGGCCATCGCGTTCTCAGACTGCTCTCTTTTATCCTTGGATCTACACATGGATAAGCAAGGAGTCTTCACTCTTTTCAAAGAAGGTGAGAGTAGGCTTTTTATTTTCTTCTTTCTTTGTCTTAGAATTAAAGGACAAATCATCAATTCAGAAACTACAAATTATATTATAAATTCACGTTACCTTTCTTTACAATACTTTTGTTTATTCTGTCAACTGCCCTTGTCGTAAGTGCCTCCTGAATGCCCCCTTCTGGGGATGGAGCCTGCAACCTGGGTATGTGCCCAGATGGAAATTGAACCCGAGGCCCTTTGGGGCATGGAATGACGCCCAAACAACCGAGCCACACCGGCCAGGGCGATTCTTTTATTTCTATAGGCTGATTTCCTTGAGAACCGAATGCTTGTTGCCCTACTGAAGTCATACTGTGTGATTTGCAGGTATTCAAAGACCTGGACCAAAGCACTGTTCCAGTACACACATAGCAGCCGCATCTCTGGGTCACATTCTGTTGACAGTGAGTGTAACTGAGTATGGAGAGTACATGGAAAGCAGTGCCACATTTGCTGCTTATGAGCCCCTAAAGGTGAGATATTTTATGGTAAGGACCTGGCATATCTTTCCATGGACTCCACTGTGTCTGCTTAGGGGCTTCCTTGCTGCCTGTGATCTCTATTAAAGATCACTGATATTTGTGTTCTCGTTACTTACCACTCTTTCTTTCTTTCTTTCTTTCTTCCTTTCTTTCTTTCTTTCTTTCTTTCTTTCTTTCTTTCTTTCTTTCTTTCTTTCTTTCTTTCTTTCTTTCTTTCTTTTGTTAATCTCACCCAAGAATATTTTTCCATTGCTTTTATTTATTTTTGTAAATATTTATATTGACTTAAAATTTTTTATTAATTTTTTTAAGAGAGGAGAGGAAGGAAGAAGGTGAGAGAGAGAAACATCAATGTGAGAGAGACACATTGATTGCTTGCCTCCCACACACACCCCAACTGGGGCCAGAGATTGAACCTTGAACCCAGGTACGTGCCCTTGACTGGGAATTGAACCTGTGACCCTTTGGTATGTGGGCTGATGTTCCAACCACTGAGAAACACCAGCCAGAGTTACTTACTACTCTCTTGTTTTTAGATCTACAGCTCTCCCATCAAACCTGAGTATTAGGGATCTTACTCCCTCAACTTTCTGCCACAGGAATATCTTTAAGTTGTATCAGCAAGTTTTAGATATTCCCCTGTCATTTTTAATGAGATATAAAATATGTATAAAGCACTATCTTAAGGGACTATTTCAGTTTTTACATATGCACATATCTCTGTAAGTACCACCCTGAATAATATATAAAATATTAGCATACTCTCTTTTGAAGAATTCTGAAAGAAAACATTCTAACTTAGGGAGGGAGTCAGTTATCTTTCACCCTTTGTACTTATTGATATTATTTATTGTTTTATTGATTTCAGAGAGGAAGGGAGAGGGAGCCAGAAACAGCAATGATGAGAATTAATGGTCGGCTGCCTCCTGCAGACCCCCAACTGGGGATTGAGCCCGCCACCCCGGCCTGTGCCCTTGACTAGAATCGAACCTGGGACCCTTTAGTCCTCAGGCCGACGCTCCATCCGCTGAGCTGTACCAGCCAGGGCGTACTTATTGATTTTAATACAACAGATTTTATTTTGGGCCCTAAGGATTGGTCCATTATAATTGGTACATTATGACAGATGGTAGTTTAGAATAAAAGTAGATAGAGCATGGTAGGCTTTCTAAACATTTAATTCTTTCAGGAGCTAACATTGATGTCTGTATAAGTTCATGCTGATAGATACTGACAAATCCTAAATTAATGCTCTTCCCATAAGGAGGCACCCATAGGTTCCCTGGACAGTTTCTCAGTGGTTAGAGCATTGGCCTTCAGACCGCACGGTCCCTGGTTCTTTCCCGCACCAGGCCTCATGTGGTGCAGGCGGGAGGCAACCAATCAATGTGTCTCTCGCACGTGGATGTTTCTCTCTCTCCCCCCTCTCTAAAAATCAATGGAAAAAATATCCTCGGGTGAGGATTTAAAAAAATATTTTAAAGAAAGGTGGCACCCATAGGGAAAAAGTTAACACTAATGAAAGAAGCAAGGTGAGTTATTAATTCTTTTTTTTCCAGAGTATACTTATTTAAAGCTGGGGACAGTGAAACAAGGATGGGCCTGGGATAGAGGAAGCAACAGAAGCTCGCTCACTGGAAAGTCAGAGAAAAGGGGGCCTCGGAGACAGGTTCAGGGCTAGTCCAGATGAGCCGCTGCTCCCCAGAGCTTCCCTGCTTGCAAGTGTCGTGGGGACCTTAGAGTTTAGGAGGTGCACGCCTGAGAGGGAAAAAAGGCGTGGGCATGTCCCCAGGAGGAAGAGCACCTAAGTTACTAATAAGACAACTTATTCATTATCTGGTCGGGGCTCCTGCAGGAGGCAACCAATCTATGCGTCTCTCTGATGTCGACATTTCTCTCCATCTTTCCCTTTCTCTTCCACTCTCTGTAAAAATCAATGGAAAAATATTCTTGGGTGAGGAGGTAGGTAGATAGACAGATGATAGATAAATAAATTGAATCCATTGTTAAAAAAAATTAGTACAGAGGAAAATGAAAGAAAAAAATGTTAAATAAAAAAAATTAGTACAGAGGATGAGACACATTCAAAGTGAAGAGGCATTGTATATTATTTCTTTTTTTTTTTTTAAAACAAGTGTTGTCAGAGACCACTGATTTTCTTTTTAAATATATTTTATTGATTTTTTACAGAGACGAAGGGAGAGGGATAGAGAGTTAGAAACATTGATGAGAGAGAAACATCGATCAGCCGCCTCCTGCACACCTCCTACTGGGGATGTGCCCGAAACCAAGGTACATGCCCTTGACCGGAATGGAACCTGGGACCTTTCAGTCCACAGGCCGACGCTCTATCCACTGAGCCAAACCGGTAGGGCTGTGTATTATTTCTAGTTTGGGATTGAGTCTAATGTCATTTCAGCATGGTAAAATAACCAGTTTTTTACTTTAGGAAATTGCTGAATTCCCTAACCAATCAAGGATTAATTTCTTTAAATGTCATCAGGCCATAAACCCTGTGGAAGTGGCATTGGTGACGTGGAATTCTGTGAAGGAAACAGTATTTGAAGGGGGCCCTCGTCCATGGATCTTGGAGCCCTCCCAATTCTTTTTGGAGTTGACCGCGGAGAAGACAGAGAAAATTGAAATAACACAAGTCCGGCTGCCAGCTAAGAGAAAACAGAACCAGTATATCTACCGGGTCCTGTGCCTGGACTTAGGAGAACAAGTAGGAAAACCACCTTTTTCTAACATTTCTTCTTGCAATACTACTACAAACCTTTTGTACATCTAGCCATTCCTTTTCAGATTCTAATGGATTTAGTTATGGACTAGATAGGAAAATTCTAATGATTGATTAAAGGATATTTTTCTTAAATCTCTACTATCCTTTCAATATACCCAAAGGTTTTGACTTGCTCATCTGAGAATTCTAACAATTCACTAACTAAGAGGTTCAAGATCTTTTTGTAGTAATGAACTTATTTCAATTACTTTATCACTATAATTTATTTCCTTGTTGTCTAGACTAGAGAACATACGGTTTTTCACGTCCAAAGAATTCGAGGAAGGAAAACTTAGTGTCATCTATGGTTAGCAATTTTGAAGAAACAGGTCTGTGCTGATAAGAGTAGCAGGTACCTTGCATTAGTTGAATTAGTCTGGATAATTTTTTGAAGTAGTGATGGATCCATCCACAGCTGTGACCTGCTTCTATCAAAACCAGTGGCAAAGGTTTACAGTTTGACTAGTGTTGAGAGTGCAGTGTATGACTGTGAAACAGCCAGGCTAACCAGCCTAATGGGGCTGTCAGTGTAGGGTTTTAACTTAAGAACTGTGCTAGCATCAACAAGCTTCTTCTTTTTTGTAATATATTTGTATTGATTTCAGAGAGGAAGGAAGAGGGAGAGAGAGATAGAAACATCCATGCTGAGAATCATGGATCGGCTGCCTCCTGCAAGTCCCCCGCTGGGGATCGAGCCCACAACCCAGGCATGTGCCCTTGACCAGAATCGAACCTGGGACCTTTCAGTTCATTGGCCGACACTCTATCCACTGAGCCAAACCGGCTAGGGCTCAACTGAGCTTCTTTATAATATCTCTAGTGAGCCAGCACCGGTTTGGCTCAGTGGATAGAGCGTCAGCCTGCGGACTGAAGGGTCCCGGGTTTGATTCCTTTCAAGGGCATGTACCTTGGTTGCAGGCACATCCCCAGTGGGGGGTGTGCAGGAGGCAGCTGATCGATGTTTCTCTCTCATCGATGTTTCTAACTCTCTATTCCTCTCCCTTCCTCTCTGTAAAAAATCAATAAAATATATTTAAAAAAAAAATCTCTAGTGAGCTCTATTGTGTATATAGCTAGCTGTTAGTAATTTCAGGCCTAATTACCCCCTTTTGAAGCTCTCTGCCTTCTTTTTGTTTCCACATCCTGTTATTCATTAGTACTGCCACCAGAGACGAGTTGAAACAGAAATCAATTTTTCTACTCTTTACCAACTGGTAACAAAAGACTTGGTGGAGGAAAAAACTGAAGTAATTGCTCAGTTATATATTTTTAATGTGCCTTTTTGTTTTCAAATTCCCATAATACCCTTGTTTCTCTTAGCACTGGCACAGACAAGAATTTTAATGTCTTTTAAGGAATTTGCCTGACTATAATGTCCAAAGAGACTCTATACCAGAATTTGAATAATTCTGACACCTGTAGATGGACAAACTGACATCAAGTGTCTCCGTACAATTACCCCTGCTCTGGTGTTGCCTTAAAGGTCCTGACATTTCGAATTGGAAATCACCCAGCTGTCTTGAACCCTAGTCCAGCTGTCGAGGCTGTGCAGGTGCGCTTCATATGTGCCCACCCTGCCAGCATGTCAGTAGCCCCAGTGTACACGGTGCCACCTGGTGCCCAGCCATGTCCTCTGCCACAGCACAACAAACAACTGGTAAGTAGAGTATTTCCAACTAGCATGGCACTTTTGTCTTCCATGCTCTAGAGATAAATGGTCTGAAATCATCTTTTGTCTATTAAAGTTAAGGAAATTGTTTTATTTGTTATTAATTCTCAGATAGTGTCTGAGAAGTTATTGAACTAGGTTAGAGTTGGCTACACTGAATGACACTTAATACCTAGTGCTTATAGTACCTAGCCAGCTTGTAATTTTTGGCAATAGACAATAACTTCTCTAAATAACTTCCAAATAGTTTTGCTGATTTCCTACCCTACCAGATCTTTTATTAGCATTATCAATAAGTAACAGAATTTACCTCTACTCCAAACCCATCATGAAGAATAATAATATGCAATAACATAGTTGGTAGGCAGGCAAGTTAGGAGAATGTTCTTATTCTTAGGAAATGCATGTGGAAATATTTAGGGGTAAAGTGCCATGATGCCTACGTAATTTTGCAAAAAAGAAGACGGAGGAGAAGGGTATGGAGGTCATAAATGGTGGTGGAAAAAAATAAATAGCTATTTTTAAAAAAGATACACATGTAGGGTGAGAAAGTAGAGGGAGAGAAAGAAAGCAAATGGTGACTTCACATGAAGTATGTGTAGGTATTCATGCTTTCAACATATCTGGAGGTTTGAAAATTGTCAAAGAATAAAATCGGGAGAAAACATGATCCCTAGCTTCAGGGTTATCTTACCAAGCCTCTTAAGAAGTTGTTGTTTTCTTTTCTTTTTATTTTAATGCAGATTCCTGTATCAAGCCTAAGGGACACAGTTCTGGAACTGTCAGTGTTTGATGAGCACAAAAGAAAGTTTGATAATTTCAGTTCACTCATGCTAGAATGGAAATCCTCAAATGAATCACTAGCTCATTTCGAAAATTACAATTCAGTCGAGATGGTAGCAAAGGATGATGGCAGTGGGCAGACGCGATTACATGGTACTGTGAAAATTTCTGAACGTTTTCCTATGCCTGCTAAAGGGTTCTGCATTACATATTTCCTTGTGGTGGTGGTTTGTTTCAGATTTTGTCATATCTCAACTTTCTTTCCTTTTTTTTTTATTTTGTTATTCCTCACCCCAGGATATTTTTCTATTGATTTTAGAGAGAGTAGAAGGGAGGGCAGGGAGAAAGAGAGAAAGATCTATGCGGGTCAGGGATCAAACCGGCAACCCAGGTATATGCCCTTGACTGGGAATCGAACTGTGATTCTTTGGGACATCGGCCAACACTCTAACCATTTAGCACACCAGCCAAGGCTCAACTTTCATCTTTGATCATTGCATTTTTTTAAAAACATAAAGGTAAATTTCCTTTTTTGAAAAGCTGTGGTCTAGGGTGCAATATTTCTCACAAGAACATCAAATTAAATTAATCTTAAAATATTGATCGCCTATTATTTGCCTAAGATTATGGAAATATTATTCATTTGTCAGCGAGTATGTATTGAATGGCTCTTACATGTCAGACTGTGTGCTAGGCACTTGGAGATATAGTGGTAAATGAAGCAGAAACAGCCTCTGCCTTCATAGAATTACAGTCTAATTGGTGAAGCCAGACTTTAAACATTATATTTGTGTTATGTGTTTGAAGGGCAAATATGGGGTGCTTTAAGAGCTTATAATAGGAGAACCTAACCTCGTGTAGAACAGGCTACCTTGAGAAAGTAACATGCTGAGACCTGAAGGGATGTTGAAAAGAGGAAATAGAAAGAATGAGCTGAATAAGGCGAGTGAGACTGACTTAAAGAGGCACTAGATGAGGTGCAAGATGAGGTCCTAAGAGGGCAGCAAGACCTCCTGCGCAATCTCTCATCAAGCCTCTGCTTGTGTCTGATGGCCCATTCACCAAAGCAAGCCACTTGGCCAACAACAGAGTCAGGGTGGGTAAGGAGCACTCAAGGATATGGATACCAGCAGGCATGATTCACTGCAGGCAATTAATATAACAGTTTACCCCTAGCCGGTTTGGCTCAGTGGATAGAGCATCGGCCTGCAGACCGAAAGATCCCAGGTTCGATTCCCGTGAAGGGCACTTATCTCGGTTGCAGGCTTCTCCCTGGACCAGGCCCTGGTTGGGGCTCCAGCAGGAGGCAACCAATCGATGTGCTTCTCTCACATCCTTATTTCTCTCTGTCTTTCCCTGTCTCTTCCACTCTCTCTAAAAATCAATGGAAAAATATCCTCAGGTAAGGATTAAAAAGATACAATAATAAAATAAAATAAATCCCCAAAGTGAAGAAGACAGTGGTACAAAAGGGTAACTTTTAGGTTTCTGGCATGAGCATTTGGATGGATGGTGTAACCAGTCAGTGGAATAAGAAACACCAGAGAAGGAGAACTACGTTCAGCCTTTCCTTACCCACAGGAGTTTACATTCAGAACAAGTTTAAAAGCTTAGGTAAAGGATATTAATATGTAGATACTATAACACTAACAGTATGATTCAATTGGTGTAAAAAGTGGTAGAGAAGCAAGAGATGTCCCTTGTGCCCTATAACAATCAATTACCAAATACCTTCATTGTTACCTTCTAAATATTTTTTTGTTCCATCCCTTCCTCTCTAACTTTCCTCTCTAACTTATCACCTCTACCCTGCATCACCAGGGTAGCCTCCCAAGGGATCTCATTTGGTGCTGCTACCCTCAAACCTCCACATTACTGTGCCGAATGATCTTTCTAAAATACAAATCTAGCCTGGCCGGCGTGGCTCTGTTGGTTGAGTGTTGTTCCATGCACCAAAAGGTCACCAGTTTGATCCCCGGTCAGGGCACATGCCCAGGTTGTGGGTTCAACCCCCGGTCGGGGTACGTGCAGGGAGCAACTGATAGCTATTTCTCCCTCACATCAATGCTGCTCTCTTTTCCTCCCTCTCCCTTCTCCTCTCTATAAATCAATAAAAACACATTTTTTTAAAACGTGCTTTCTTCTTAAAAAAAAAAAAAAGAAAACAAATCTGAATCTCCCTCTTAAAATTCTTTTTTTGGCTACTGTTTACTGAGCTCTCCTGAAATGCCAGGTATAGCACTAAATACTTTACTATATACATTTTCTCATGTAATCCTCATAACAACCATGACAGACTGGCATTATAACCCCGATTTTTAAAGTTTATTCGTTCATCAAACATTTCTTGCATTCTCACTATATTCTAGGCACAGTGTTAGGCCCTGGGATTATAACAGTAAGTAGGTGAAGCAATAAGTTCTCTGACATCAAAGCCTGTACTCTTCTTTTTTTTTTTTAATTCTCACTCGAGGTTATGTTTATTGATTTTAGAGAGGGGGGAAGGGAGAGAGAGAGAGAGAGAGAGAGAGAGAAGCATAAATCAGTTGCCGCCTCAGTGTGCCCTTACCCGGTATTAAACCCACAACCTAGGTATGTGTCCTGACTGGGAATCGATGGACCCATTGAGCCACACCAGCCAGGGCCAGCCTATGCTCTTGACCACTGACTGTGCTGCCACCATATTGCCTTCAGGGACTCCCCATGCATTTCAGGATACAATCCATATGTTGCCGCTTACTGTATTGACTCCTGCCTACTTTGGCTTCACTTATTACCATCCACATAGACCCTGCATTTTTTTCATATGCAACAACTTTAGATTCTTAACCATGACAAGCCTTGTCATACCTCTTTCCTTTGTCTATGTTGTATGTTCTCTTTTCTTGCATCTTCACTGGGCTAACATCTTCTTGTAATCTAGGAGTTTTCTGTCCCTCTATATTCCCAATCTAAGGGAAATATTTCTTCTTTATGCTGTTCTATATTCTGCATACATGTGCTCTGTTCATACTTCTATAATAACACTTACCACACTGTATTGCAGTGGTCGGTTTCCCTCTCCGTTGCCCTACTAAGCTGTAAGTTTCTTTGAAGGCAAAGATTGTGTTGTTTTCTTCATCTCTGTATCTTAATTACCTGGCATTCTATGTAGCATTTAGCAGGCCTTCAGTAAATCTTTGTTGAATGAATGAATGAATGTAGCATCATCAGAAAATGCTTCACAGATTTAGGGATGATGATCATGTGTTGAGGATAAAATAACTGACCTACATAAAGTGGCAGATTCATGTTAGTTAATTTAAAAAAGAAAAGAAAAGCAAAAATAAAGCAGGGTCAGATTATAGAAGGCTTTAAAACTAGTTTAAGGAGTTTGAATTGTTCTAATAAGAAATAGCTATGTTAAATTTTTGAGTAAGGGATTGACATGACATTATATATACAAAACAGTTTAGAAGAGTTTTAGATCCCACTTTATTTCTCACTTCCATTTTTAATGTTTTTATTATTGATTGTAGAGAGGGGAAGGGAGAGAGAGACAGAAACATCCATGAGAAACATTAACATCAATCGTCTGCCTCCGGGCCGCCCCCTGCTGGGGATCAAGCCCAGGCATGTGCCCTGACTGGGAATCAAACCCGCGACCTCCTGGTGCATGGGTCAGTGCTCAACCACTGAGCCGTACCAGCGGGGCTCAATTCCATTTTTAAATTAAACCAAAAGTTTCTCCTACATTGTCATCAGTCTATTTTTGGACTCACAGACCATCAGAGCTGGAAAGAATTTTCGATTTTGCCTGGCTTCATCCCTCATTTAATAAAGGAACTGAGAAATTACGTGGTTGCCCAGGGTCACATAGGAATATAGTGGCAGAGTCAACACAAAAACCCAGTTTTCTGATTCTTGTGTGTTTCCCCATTCAGTGTTGTTTTTTTTTCTCCCTGCAACAAAACACTGTTTGAAATAAATTAGGGTAGAATTTGGTTTTCTGGAGACGCTTTTGTATTCTGCATGTTATTGTCTCACGGAATATTTTTCTGCGCGTCTCTAGGCCATCAGATCCTTAAAGCACATCAGATCAAAGGGACTGTAGTCATCGGAGTCCGTTGTGCAGGCTATTCAGAGGAAAGTTCAAAGGTAATGGAGATTGTTATATAAGAAATATAAATTAAAGAACTGAAATTTCAGGTTCTTCTTTAGAAGTCGTTTGTCACTGACATACATCTGGGAACTGTGTGTGTGCTTCTGTGCTCCTGTTATCTTTGGCAACAGAAAGAGGACTGGGATCGTTCTTCACTGAGTTGAGGAATTGAAAGTTTATAGTCACCTTTGCGGCTCTTATTGCATTTCTAGGTACTTCCCAGCTTGCCCAAATCTGCAGCTGTGGAGCTGCTCCTCGTGGATGACGTGACTGTGCTGCCTGAGAATGCCACCATCTACAACCATCCAGACGTGAAGGTAGAAGCTGTATTGGTCTAGTTAAATGGAATATATTGGATGGGAGAGTACTAGGTTATTAAGGTTAACAGTATAACAATAAAAAAAGCTCACTTATGTGTTTAAAATCATGGCTACACATATACATAGATCATCATAATTAGCTACAATATCCTTAGGAGTTATACTTTAATATTCAGGTTTTGTTTTTGGTCCATTAATCACATACTCTTTCTTAGGTAGAGAGAAGCTATTTTCTTTGAATTATTTATAAACCAAAGGGAATGGAATACTGTCTGTCTGATTTTTCCATAGGAAATATTTAGCCTTGTGGAAGGGTCTGGTTATTTTTCAGTCAACAGCAGTGAGCAAGACATTGTCACCATCATTTACATGGAAGCAGAAAGCTCTGTGCAGGTGAGTGCTAGAGACATTCCCAGATTGATGGTCTCCGGTCAAAGCCGCTCTTAGGAGAGTGATTGGAAAAATTCCATTGTGTGTTTCAAACCAGTTACAAAAATAACATTTGTTTCTTTTGCTTTTTTTAACCTACATAGACTCTTCAGCCAAAAAATGAGGGTTGTTTTATTTTTTTAACTAGCTGCAATACTGGACAATTGTTGGTTCTGGTTGAGCTGAGACATTATATTTATAAGATTTCCATTAAAAGAAGGTTAATTTCTATAAATGGATAGTTAGATATACTATTGACCATGTAACCTGAGTATAGGTGCTTTTAGACAGGATATAACAACTCAAGCTTTTAAGCTGACTTCATAGCCAATATGCCAAGGGATTTGCTTTTAGTTTACTTATAAAAAAAAATACTTTATATTGCCCTAGCCAGTTTGGCTCAGTGGCTAGAGCAGTGATGGCGAACCTTTTGAGCTTGGCGTGTCAGCATTTTGAAAAACCCTAACTTAACTCTGGTGCCGTGTCACATATAGAAATTTTTTGATATTTGCAACCATAGTAAAACAAAGATGTATATTTTTGATACTTATTTTATATATTTAAATGCCATTTAACAAAGAAAAATCAACCAAAAAAATGAGTTCGCGTGTCACCTCTGACACACGTGTCATAGGTTCGCCATCACTGGGCTAGAGCGTCAACCTGTGGACCAAAAGGACCTGTGGACCAAAGGGTCCCAGATTCACTTCTGGTCAAGGGCACATACCTTGGCTGTAGGCTCCTCCCTGGACCAGGCCCTGGAAGGGGGTCGTGCAGGAGGCAACCAATCGATGTGTTTCTCTCACATCGATATTTCTCTCTGTCTTTCCCTCTCTCTCCCACTCTCTAAAAAGCAATGGAAAAATATCCTCAGGTGAGGATTTAAAATGAAAAAAGGTAATACCTTACATTAACATATGCTTATATTTTCTTTCCTTCTAAGAGCTCAAAAGAATTTAACTTACTTTAGTCATAATGTTTGTCATTAAAAGGGGAGATTGAGGCCCCATGTGCAGGCAGAGGATGTGAGAACATGCTGTAGCAAAGAAGGAAAGACAAAGAATCGGTCTGCCCAGTGCTTTCTCCCTCACTGACAACTGCAACATACATGGACTTGACTTTCTTCATAAAGTCCTTTCCCTGTTCATAATTAAGAGGCTGGACCTGTATATTGGATTCTGCTTGAATTTAATCAACTTATATTCTGCTTTTTATCAGTTAATAATTGTTAAGGGTCCATATTTTGCCATTAACTGAAACATCACATTAAGTGTGTATATTGTGCTATGTCTGAAACATGTAAAGTGACCTCTCAAAGTTCCCATCACAAAGAAAATAAGATATTATATTTTCTGCTTTCGATGGAAATAGTTGCCATGATGCCGTGGTCATTGTGGCTCAGTGGGTTGGGCATTGTCCCATGCACCAAGAGGTTGCCAGTTCGATTTCCGGTCAGGGCACATGCTCGATCCATGTTAGGGGGCGTGCAGGGGGCAGCCAATCGATGTTTCACTATCACATTGATGTTTCTGTCTCTCTCTCCCCCTCCCTTTCTCTCTCTCAAATTCAATTTAAAAATCTTTTAAAAAAAGAAATAGTTGCCATAATTATGTTTGGACCATGTTTGCTTCTTTACCCAGCTACCATCTTCTTCCTTCTAGTTAGTTCCAATACATCCTGGATTTCTCACCTTGGAGGTCTATGATCTGTGCTTGGCTTTCTTGGGTCCAGCACTGGCCCACCTCAGGGTGTCAGACATACAAGAGCTGGAGCTTGATCTCATTGATAAGGTGAGAAATATGTGCTTTATCTTACAAATGAAACAGGCTTCATTTTCATTCTCAAACATCTCTTAATATAGTCTCTGCTCAGGACCTTTGGTAGTGTTATTGGAAAAGCTGCCCTTAAAGAACAACATTCCGCCCTAACCGGTTTGGCTCAGTGGATAGAGCATTGGCCTGTGGACTGAAGGGTCTCAGGTTCGATTCCGGTCAAGGGCATGTACCTTGGTTGCGGGCACATTCCCAGTGAGGAGTGTGCAGGAGGCAGCTGATCGATGTTTCTCTCTCATTGATGTTTCTAATTCTCTATCCCTCTCCCTTCCTCTCTGTAAAAAAATCAATAAAATATATTTTTTAAAAATCCCAACATTAAACATGGTAAAGATAGGCCCTGGTCAGATGGCTCAGTTAGTTGGAATGTTGTCTATAAACCAAAATGTTGCAGGTTTGATTCCCGGTCAGGGCACATATCCACAGGTTCAACCCCAAGTCAGGGTGCTTACAGGAGGCAATAGTATTTCTCTCTTTTCTCTCTCTCTATCTCTCTCTCTCCTTCCTCTCTCTCTAAAAATCAATAAAAAGACATATCCCCAGGTGAGGATTTAAAAAACAAGTAAATAAAAATAAACATGGTAAAGATAAATACGGTATACATAGATTAGTCTTGTTTGAACAAAGGCTGACCAGGAACATTTAGCATGAAAAGTTTGCCACCTCTAAGATTTAGACTGTCCTTGATGAATGAGGCACCTCTACTAAAATTACCTCTTTTTAAAAACTATTAGGTTGAAATAGGTAAAAGTGTGTTAGTAACTGTGAGAGTTCTTGGCTCTTCCAAACGCCCATTCCGAAATAAATACTTCAGAAACATGGAGCTCAAACTGCAGTTGGCGTCTGCCATTGTCACCCTGACGTGAGTACCGTTTCAATACTTCTTCCTCCCTGTGCTCCACATCTTGACACTCTCCTTCCTGGTAACCTGGTAACCTGGTAACCCATGGTTGTTTTCGAGTTTCCTCTTTCCCTTTTTGTCACAGTACCTTTCGGCCTTACTCTCTTCCCATATTCAGATGTCTTGTTTGAGGGCTACAATCATGAGTCTCATCAGTTTTTCCATTTTATGAAACTTCTTCCGGGGTGATATCCTTTTGGGGTGCTTCAATATAGAGGACCTTCAAAAATCTATTTAGAAGCAGAGTCACTAGTATACCCGCCTGTGAAAGGGGAATTGTAGGTATTCTAAGGCAGTTTAGTATTTGCAATTTTGCCAGTCTATGTTTATATTGCCCTACTAGAGGCCTGGTACATGAAATTTGAGCATCGGGGGGATCCCCTCAGCCTAGCCTCTACCCTCTCCAATCTGGGACCCCTCAGGGATGTCCAACTGCAGGTTTAGGCCCGATCCCTGTGATCGGGCCTAAACCTGCAGTCGGACATCCCTCTCACAATCCTGGACCCCTGACTCCTAATCGCTCACCTGCCTGCTGGACTAGTCGCCCCTAACTGCCCCCCCCCACCAGCCTGGTTGCCTCTTACTGCTCCCCCTGCCGGCCTGGTTGCCCCCAACTGCCCCTCCTGCCAGCCTGGTTGCCCCTCATGGCCCCCCCACCGGCCTGGTTGCCCCACGCAGCCTGCTGTTCAGTCGTTTGGTCATCCCTCACTAACCCCCCTGCCAGTCTGCTCGCCCCCAACTGCCCTCCCCTGCTGGCCTGACCGCCCCTAACCACCTCTGCCTCAGCCCTGCCACCATGGGTTTGTCCAGGAGGACATCCGGAAGGTCTCCTGGTCTAATTAGCATATTATCCTTTTATTAGTGTAGAGGATTCCTTTGGCGCCTTAGGACAAGATTTTTGTCTTCAAGAGATTCCTGCCATTGCCATGAACTGGGTCTTGACTTTGGAAATTTATTTTCTGTCATTTCCCTCTAACCATAGTTAAGATGAGCAGAAAATGTTAAGCATCTTTAGAAAGATGCATAACTGGCCAGTCTTAAAACCAAATCTTTCTCATCTAAAAATACATGGGTCTTTGCAGGCTAATGGAGGAACAGGACAAATACTCCGAAAATTATATCCTTCGAGCTGTCACTGTGGGGCAAACCACACTTGTGGCTATTGCTAGGGACAAGATGGGGAGAAAATTCACATCAGCTCCTAGGCAAATTGAAGTAAGAAAATTACCTCATTCAAAATTGATACTTCATCTTATTTAGCATTATTTATCTTTCCGTTTGGTTTGTACGAGTTGAAAATCATTTGACTGAAAAAAATTGTAGTCTAACTTTTGCAACAATATGTGGTTTGTTTGTGTTTTTTGTATAAAAATAATATACTTCTTGTAGAAATTGGAAAGACAAAAAATATAAAGACCCAGAATAAAAATCACCTATAATTCCACTAGAGTAAATTATTTTTAAGATTTCAGTGTATTTCCTTCACTTTAAAAAAAATTTTTTTAAATTTTTTTCAGTGATTTCGGAGATGGAGAGAGAGATAGAAACATCAATGAGAGAGAATCATTGATTGGCTGCTTCCTGCACGCTCCCTACTGGGGATCGTGCCTGCAACCTGGGCATGTGCCCTGACCAGGAATCAAACGATGAACTCCTGGCTCATAGGTCAATGTTCAACCACTTAGCCACGCTGGCCAGGCTATTTCCTTCACTTTTTCCCTTACACTTACTTTAACATGGATGAATCATACACTTTTTTCATCTTAATCTTCTATCAAAAGTATTTTTTTATGTGCTTAAAAGTAATTGTTAGCCATTTGTTGATAAGTGTTGAAGCTGGATAATAGGTAGCTGAGAATTCTTTATATGTTTGGAAAAAAAAGTAAAAAAAAAAAGATAATTGTAAACATAATTTTAATGGCCAGTTTTGTTCCAATGAGTGGATATATAATAACTTATTTAGCATTCTCATTTAAGTAATTTATAATTTTTGCTATTATAAATAAAAGTTGACTTTATAAGTAAATACATGTCTTTGTATATTTTGTATATAACTTTATTATACATAATTAGGATTTTCCCCTTAGAATAAGCTGCATGATCATTTGTTTTGAAATTGACTCTAGTTAATCACTATAATCCTTTTGGTTTTCTCCTTCAAGGTGTTTCCTCCATTCAAACTTGTTCCAGAGAAAATGACACTGATTGCTTTCTAGGTAATTTTCCTAATGCACAAATAATTTTATTTTTGGTTGAGGTAAAGTTCACATAACACACAATTAACCATTTTATTTTATTTTTATTTTTTAATATATTTTATTGATTTTTTACAGAGAGGAAGGGAGAGAGATAGTTAGAAACATCAATGGGAGAGAAACATCGATCAGCTGCCTCCTGCACATCTCCCACTGGGGATGTGCCCGCAACCCAGGTACATGCCCTTGACCGGAATCGAACCTGGGACCTTTCAGTCTTCAGGCCGACGCTCTATCCACTGAGCCAAACCGGTTTCGGCACAATTAACCATTTTAAAGTGTATAGTTCAGTGGTATTCAGTACATTCACAAAGGTGTGCAGCTATCACCTCTGTCTCGTTCCAAAATATTTTCGCTATCACAAAAGGACACCATACCCATTAATAGTCACTTCCCACATCCCCTCATCTTAGCCCCTGGCAACCAGCTGTCTCTATGAATTTAACTATTCTGTATACTTCCCACAAATGGACTTATACAATATGTGACCTCTGTGTTGGCTGCTTTCAGTTACCATAATATTTTCAGGGTTCTCCCATGTTATAGCATGTATCAGTACTTCATTCTTTTTATGAGTAAATAATATTCCATTGTGCAGATATAACATTCTGTTCGTCCATTCATCCATTGATGGACATTTTGGTTGTTTTCATCTTTGGCTGTTGTGAATAGTGCTGTGAACATTCATGTACAACTATTTGTTTGAATACCTGTTTCAATCCTTTTATTTCCATTATTTTGGCTGAATAATTTTTTTTTTAAATATATTTTATTGATTTTTTACAGAGAGGAAGGGAGAGAGATAGAGAGTTAGAAACATCGATGAGAGAGAAACATCGATCAGCTGCCTCCTGCACACCTCCTACTGGGGATGTGCCCGCAACCCAGGTACATGCCCTTGACCGGAATCGAACCTGGGACCTTTCAGTCCGCAGGTCGACGCTCTATCCACTGAACCAAACCGGTTTCGGCTTGGCTGAATAATTTTTAATGATAAACATATAATAGAATTTGATTTTTTAAAAGATTAGCATAGTCCCGGCTGGTGTCGCTCGGTTGGAGTGTTGTCTCTTGTACTGAAGGGTCGCAGGTTCGATTCCCAGTCAGGGCACAAACCAAATTGTGGGTTTGATCCCCAGTCAGATGTGTATGGGAGGCAACCAACCTCCCGACTGATGTTTCTCTCTCACATCCATGTTTCTTTTTCTCTCCCCCTTCCTCTCTCTCTAAAATCAATAAAAACATACCCTCAGGTGAGGATTAAAAGAAAAGGTAAGCATATCAAAGCAGACTTTTACCTGAGGAACAAATAGGCACACCATATAGAGAATGGCAGGCAGTTTCCTCAGGGTAATCCTGGCAGCCGCTACTCCTTTCTGGTCAAACAGAGTCTCCAAGAGATGCCACTTGCTCTGTTTGTTCCCTAGGGAAGGGGCAGCCTTTGTGAGTTCCCGTGTTCTCAAGTGTTTCCCTAACTCATCTGTCATTGAGGAGGACGGTGAAGGGCTCCTGAAAGCTGGTTCCATTGCAGGCACTGCCGTGTTGGAAGTCACTTCTGTAGAACCTTTTGGAGTCAACCAAACAACCATAACTGCAGTTCAAATAAGTAAGTAAGTACATAAATAAATAAGTAAGTAAGTAAAAGGAATACTATGCCCTTAACAGGCATATTTCCTTTTTTAAGAATTAGAGACTTCTCAGGAAGTCAGAAATGAACTATAAGGTAAGAGATAATCTTGACATGATTCTAAACCATCAAATTAAAGTGAACTTTAGCCCTAGCCGGTTTGGCTCAGTGGATAGAGTGTGAGTCTGCAAACTGAGGGGTCCCGGGTTCCATTCCAGTCAAGGGCATGTACCTTGGTTACAGGCTCCTCCCCAGCCCAGTCCCTGGCAGGGGTATGTGCAGGAGGCAACCAATTGATGTTTCTCTCACATCGATATTTCTGTCTTTCCCTTTCTTCCATTTTCTCTAAAAATCAATGGAAAAAATATCCTCTGGTGAGGACTTAAAAAAAAAAGTGAAAGTGAACTTTAGAGTCCTTGTTATCTTGTTATAGCCTCAACTTGGTGTGATTGTCTTCTGAACAGCTTGGGCAAGAAAGTTGGTATGGGAGAAGTGTAGAACTATTGCTACCAAAATTAGGCTTTGTTTTCGGAATTAAAAAATTAGAATTAGACAATTCCTCAGAGGTAAGTTAGTCTAACACACACATCAGAACAGAACTGCCACCATGACTGGGCAGGAGCAGCAAGATGCTGCAGCACAGCGGGTACAGGGTGAGGTGTATCCTGCAAGCCAGTCGTATCTCCATTGGCACCTTCAAGGCTTTCGACAAGCATATGAATTTGATCCTATGTGGTTGTGATGAATTCAAGAAGATCAAGCCAAAGAACTCAAAACAAGCAGAAAGAGAAGAGAAGCAAGCCCTCAGTCTAGTGCTGCTTCGAGGGGAGAAGCTGGTCGCGGTAACAGTAGAGGGATCTCCTCCCACAGATACTGGCGTTGCTGGAGTGCCACTTGCTGGAACTGCTGGGGGCCCAGGGATCAGCAGGGCTGCTGGCAGAGGAATTGCAGCTGGTGTTTCCACGCTGCAGGACTTGCTGGGCCAGCTCATGGGGTTGCTGGGCCATCCCAACTGCGCTCCCTACCACGGAAATGTGCCCACCAAGGCCCTAGACTCATCTTACCCCCTCTCATCTCCCTAAAGACTGTACATAGTCCTTTTATTTCCTTGTGGCCTGTGAAACAAATTTATAATATACTTTTTTTTAATCCTCACTCCAGGATATTTTATTCATTCGTTCATTCATTCATTAATTCATAGGGAGAGAGTGGAAGGGAGGGAGAGAGGAAAAGAGAGACCAGGAATCAAACCCGAGACCTTTTGGTACCCGGAATGACACTCTAGCCACTTAGCCATACCGGACAGGGGTACAATCAACTTTTTTGTTCTTGTTAATTTTCACCCAAGGATATTTTTCCATTGATTTTTAGAGAATGGAAAGGAAGGGGAGAGACAGAGAGAGAGAAGCATCAATCAACGTGAGAGAGACACATCAGTTTGGTTGCCTCCTGTATGTGCCCCGACCAGAGCCAGGAATGGAGCCTGCAACTAAGGTATGTGCCCTTGACTGGAATCAAATCTAGGACCCTTCAGTTCACGGACCGACACTCTATCCACTGAGCCAAACTGGCTAGAGCTAAACTTCTTTTTTTAATATGTTTTTATTGATTTCAGAGAGGAAGGGAGTGGGAGAGAGAGAAACATCAATGATGTGAGAGAATCTTCAATTGGCTGACTCCTGCACGCCCTCTACTGGGATGGAGCCTGCAACCCGGGCATGTGCCCTGACTGGGAATCGAACTGTGACCTTCTGGTTCATAGGTCGATGCTCAATCACTGAACCACGCTGGCCAAGCAAAGCTGAACTTTTCTTGTTATCACAGCTTATCTCTTATAGTGTTAAAAAACAAATTATACTATTTTTTTAAAATATATTTTATTGATATTTTACAGAGAGGAAGGGAGAGGAATAGAGAGCTGGAAACATCGATGAGAGAGAAACATCGATCAGCTGCCTTCTGCACACCCCCACTGGGGATGCGCCCGAAACCAAGGTACATGCCCTTGACTGGAATCGAACCCGGGACCCTTCAGTCCGCAGGCCGTCGCTCTATCCACTGAGCCAAACCGGTTAGGGCAAATTATACTATTCTTAATAATTATTTAACAATATTGAGCACTCTGCACAAAATAAATTGCAGTTCTTTCCTCAAAAAGCTTCTCTTCACATTCCCACAGCTTTAATAATTAAAAGCCATTTCCTATACCCGCGGCCACATGCAAATACAAATATTGTATTTGTTCCCGTTTTGTTTTTTTTACTTCAAAATAAGATATGTGCAGTGTGCATAGGAATTTGTTCATAGTATTTTTTTAAACTATAGTCCGGCCCTCCAACGGTCTGAGGGACAGTGAACTGGCCCCCTGTTTAAAAAGTTTGAGGACCCCTGTCCTATACTGTCATATTTTCACTGATTTAAGTCATCTTAAATCAAGAGCTAATTATTTCATATGAAAGAGGGACACATTTTTTATCATCTATAATAATAAAAGCATATATGCTAATTAGACCGGATAACCTTCCAGACGAAGCCAGGGCTGTGAGGGAAACGAGGGTCCCAGGTGCCTGCTGGCGGCTGGAAGAAAGCCAGTGCCAGCAGCTGGGGGAAGGAAGGCCTACTCTTGCACAAATTTTGTACATCGGGCCTCTAGTTGATTATAAATCTCAGAATATGGACACAACTCCTCTCCAGTGCATCCTTCTCTGTACCAGTAGGTTTTGTCTCCCACAGGTAGCACCAGTGACATACCTGCGAATGAGCAGCCAATCCAAGCTGTACACGGCCCAAGGAAGGACCCTATCAGCCTTTCCGTTGGGCATGTCTCTCACCTTCACTGTTCAGTTTTATAATAGAATCGGAGAGAAATTCCACACACACAATACCCAGCTTTATCTGGCTCTGAACAGGTATGGAAGTCAATGACACTATGGTAGAAATTCTTGCAGATTAGGTTATTGTTATATAGCAGCTCCAGTAAATTGCTCTCATGTTCTGCACTTGGAATCTGATCTTTGATTCTTTCATTACGATGGGAAAAGACCAGAATAGTTATTAGCTGTTCAATGAAGAAAAATATCAGGATATTTTGAATCTGTCAAGTCCTAGTTCACAGAAAGCTTCCATACGGAGCTAATTGGAATATTATCAAAAAGTCATACTGAAAAAAATGTTTAATTAAAAAAGAAAAAAAGTCTTACTGGGCACTATATACTGGTATGTGAAGGTAATAGACAGATCTCTGGCCCTTACTGTCCATTGTAGAATTTCTTCTGAACTTTTGTGCTGTTGAATATAATGTAACTAGAGGCCCAGTGCATGGTTGAGGGGACAATTTGCATACTACCCTTTTATTATATAGGATAGGGTCTGTTCCCAGAACTGTTTTCTAACTATTGTCCCTTTTCAGAGATTCCTGCTTTTCATATCTACTTTCAGAGATGACCTCCTACTTATTGGACCAGGGAATAGGAACTACACTTACGTGGCCCAGGCTGTGAACAGAGGGGTGACACTGGTGGGGCTCTGGGATCGGAGACACCCAGGCATGGCAGATTACATTCCTGTCGCTGTCGAGCACGCCATTGAGCCTGACGCCAAGCTCACCTTTGTTGGAGATGTCATCTGTTTCAGTACTCACCTCCTCAACCAAAATGGTCTGGACACCTTCCTTTCTTAACCTCACAACTGGTTACAAAGCAACTCATCCCTTAAAGGATTTTTTTCTAAACTATCTAAATTCCAAAAGTGTTTTTATGCATTTTATTATTTTTCATGTTAACTGATAATTCTCAGTTCAATGCCCAATTCTCTCAATAGCTAGCCATCAGAAGTCAGCCAGTTATATTTATCAAATGCCTATTGAATGCATAGCTCTATGTAATGTATTATGTAGACGATGTAGGGTACTGTGCCTTCTCCTCCATTTCCAGCTTCTGAAGGAGGGTAAATGCTTAGCTGAAGAGCAGTAAAGGATGAAATAAAAGTAAGGAAAGGATAATAAGGCTTTAGTTCTAAGTTATCCTCAAAGCTCGGTGTTCCTGCTGGATGGGAAGAGAGATCTATATGCTTTAATGGTCTACTGATTTGGAGTCTGAGTAAGGTTAAAGTGACCAATTTATTCAAAAGGTTGCAACAAAGTGCTTTTTCTTATCTTTTCCTAGGTGAACCTGGGATATGGATGATTTCTACTGACAGTATTCTACAAACAGACACTGTCACTGGGGTAGGAGTGGCCCGGAGTCCAGGAATAGCAACAATCTTTCATGACATCCCAGGACTGGTGAAAACATATCGAGAGGTAAACTTAACAATACCAGGATTGAAGAGATAAGGGCGTCTATTTTTATAAATGGGAATATGCATATAAAAGAGAAATGCAGTCACATATCAGATATAAAAAGAGCCAACAAGCTTTATTGGGATATAAAGGGAAACAGTATTAGGGTTCTTTCTTTTTTAACTTTTTAAAAAATATATTTTTATTGATTTCAGAGCATGAGGGAGAGGGAGAAAGAGATAGAAACATCAATGATGAGAATCACTGATCAGCTGCCTCCTGCATGCCCCCAACTGGGAATTGAGCCCGAAACCCGGGCATGTGCCCTTGACCAGAACCAAACCCAGGACCCTTCAGTCCACAGGCCGATGTTCTATCCACCAAGCCAAACTGGCTAGGGCAGTATTAGGATTCTTAACCAGAAGAATGCCTCGTCTGACTTACATTTTAAAATATCACTGTGACCTCTGGTTGGTACTAAACTGTAGGGGCTAGGGTAGAAGCTGAGAAACCAGTTGGAAGAATATTATTGCAGTAAACTAGGTGAGATATGATGGTGGATCAGGGTGGTAACAGAGGAGGTAATGAGAAGTTAATCAGATTCTACATATATATTATCGGTAGAGCCAATAGAATTTCCTGACAGATTACATGTAGAGTGTGCGACAGTTAAGAATGACTTAAGGCCCTGGCTCAGTTGATTAGGCGTCATCCCATGCACCAAGAGGTTTCTGGTTCCATTCCTGCCCAGGTTGTGGGCTTGATCCCCAGTAGTGGGTATGCAGGAAACAGTCTATGGATGTTGGACTGTTACATCAATGTTTCTCTCTTCTCCCTTCCTCTCTTCCTAAAATTCAATTAACTATTCTTTAAAAAAAAAAAAAAAGACTTAAGGTTTTTGATTGACTAACTAAAAGGTCAAAGTTGCCATCAACTGAAATGTGGAATCTGTGAGTGGAATAGCTTTGGAGAGAAGGTCAGTCAGTTTTGGACATGTACTAGTAAAACTGGACATGAGGTTGCTGGATATAAAAGTCTGGGAGTCACCCTAGCTGGTCTAGCTCAGTGGATAGAGCATCATCCTGCGGACTGAAGGATCACGGGTTTGATTCTGATTAAGGGCACATGCCCAGGTTGCGGGTTCGATCCTCAGTAGGGGGCATGTAGGAGGCAGCTGATCAATGATTTTCTCTCATCATTCATGTTTCTATCTCTCTCTCCCTCTCCCCTCCTCTCTGAAATCAATAAAAAAATACTATTAATAAATAAATAAAAGTCTTGGAGTCATTGGCATAGAGATGATATTTAAAGCCATTAGATCACTAAGAGAATGGGTGTAAACTGAGAAAAGGCCCAAGAACTAAACTCTGGGGACACTCCAATATTAAGAGCTCTTAGAGCAGAAGAGGAACCAATAAGAGAGACTTCTAAGAAATGACCAGTGAAGTGGGAAGAAAACCCAGAAATTTTGGTGTCCTGGAAGCCAAGTGAAGAAGTTATTTCAAGAGGAAGGGAATGATCAACCAGTGAAATACTATTAATAGGTTAAGTAAGATAAAAACTGAGACCTAATTGATGGTTTTTACAATATGTAACTAACTTTAAGGTCCTTGAATATTTAAAAACAAACTGTGGTAGTACTGAGGAGACTGGAGAGTATATTACATTAAATTGAAGATATTTGGAGGGAAAAAGGATCATTATCATCATATCTCTTTGTAATCATTAAGCACTAGGCCTTACATACAAAGCACAGTATAGGATGCACAGGGATAAATTAGGGTTCTAAGTTAAAGAGCTTAGAGCCTAATAGGAGGGATTTTAACAGGTGTAAAAATGTGCACAATATAAGGCAGAACATTGCAAAGCATACTGAGGATTCTGTAAAGTTGCAGTTGTCTTCAAAGGCATTTTAATAGGGAATCCTACAAAGGGAACATATGTCAGAAGGAATAATGGACAGAGACCTCCTTTGAGAAAATGTTTTCTTCCCGTAAGATATTGTGATTCTCAAAAATGTTAGCACATGAAGAGCAATTTGTGTGAAACAGATGCTTTTGGTCAAATAAGTTATGAGAGGCAGAGAAGGAGGGAACCAGATTCTCTGAGAATTGAGGTCCAGATTTGCCTTCGGTTTCCTGACAGGTGGTTGTCAATGCATCGTCAAGATTAACACTCAGTTATTACCTCAAGACTTATCTCACCAATACTCCCAATTCAACTGTGTTCAAGTTCTTCATCACCACTGGCAGAAATGGTGTCAATCTTAAAGGTCAGGATTCTTATAGGTATGGGTGATTGTTCTCAACTTTCTCATTTTCCCATATTAATTTCCCCCTTTGGATTAGCAAGATAAATTTCTTCTTATTTCAGAATTGACTCTACCTTAACAAATAAATCATTGACTCATCCTTTTTTATACCTAACTGCTTCTATGTAACAGCATCTCCTTTTAAAAAAATCTTTTAGTGATAAAGCTGTTTACCTCTTTTCTGCTTATTAGGGTCCTGCACCCCAAGTCAAGCCTCGGCCATTACAACAATACTTCTTCCAGAGACCCTCATACTGTGTCACATACAGTTCAGTAACACTTCACTAGACATTCCAGCAAGCAAAGTCTTTCATGTCCATTCATATTTCAGCATGGAGAAAGGTGGGTTCCACCAGCTGAATCTGGTTTCCCCCTTATTTTCATATTTGTACAGTTGTCACCTTCTTATTGGATTGCATGCATATTTTCCAGTTTCATCTGCTATATATGGACTCTTTCTCAATCAACATTTTTGTTTAATTCATTCTAATTTGTTAAACGTGGCTCTATAATCCCTTCCTATTGCTTATAATACAATACAAAATGCTTTTCTATTATAATTTACTATTTTGTTAGTCCCTGTTATCTCTGTAAGGGCTTGGCTTAGGTCTCATTCACCTTTTATCCCCAGCAAGTAGCACAGTGTTTGAATGTTTGTTGAACTGAAGGCTATTCCAAGCAGATTATCATTAACAAGCAGAAAGTAGAAACAGGTATGACACTGAAATGACTTTACATAAATCAACTGATCTAAAATGAGAAGATTCATGTCAAATGTGAACAGGATAGTGCTACATCATGGGGGAGTGTCTTCTCCAAGGCCAGGCAGTGTGAATGGTAATGAGCAACCACTGAAGGAAGGTTCACTTGGCAAATTGTTGAGCACCCAATAGAATGCCTCGTACCATGACACGCACTGGAGATACAAAGAGGACAAGGCTTATAACTCTTACTAGTACTGCAGAGTGATAGTTTTAGAATAAAAATACACGTGGGGCATTAGGGCAGCAGAAAAGAGTATCTACATCAAACATGGGTGTTAAAGTAAGGTTTTACAGAGTAAATGACCCTTTAGAAGATGACTAAGAGTGAGCTAGATATAAAGAAAATAGGACATTTCAGGCAATATAGACCCCAGATAAGTTTACAAAAATAAAATGAAAGCAGTTTTAAAGTATTTACTGGAAGTACATAGGATGGACAAGAAAGAATGAATAATGGGAGGCAAGGAGACTAGTAAATGGAGCCATTGCAATAGACTAGAGCAGGGGTGGGCAAACTTTTTGACTCAAGGGCCACAATGGGTTCTTAAATTGGACCGGAGGGCCGGAACAAAAGCATGGATGGAGTGTTTGTGTGAACTAATATAAATTCAAAGTAAATATCATTACATAAAAGGGTACGGTCTTTTTTTTTTTTAGTTTTATTCATTTCAAACGGGCCGGATCCCACCCGCGGGCCGTAGTTTGCCCACGGCTGGACTAGAGTAACGAAGAAATACCAACAGGGTAGACATGTCAGAGGCATTTCAAAGAGTTAGCACGATTTGGAGGATGATTAGATATAAGAATGAAGTAAAGGAAGTAAAGGTTTGAGCATGGGTAACTAGAAAAATACTACTGACAGAAATAAGACCAAGTGGTGGTTTGATAGAGAAGTGATTAAACCATGCTCGAAGCATGCCTTTTTTTCACAAACCCTTTCCTGATCTTACCAATTGACTACTTCATTCTGTATTCCCATAATTTGTTTACACTGTATTAATATTTCCTGGCATGTTGATTTACCAATTTAAGCAACAAGTTCAGTTGTGGGTTCCCTGTTTTCTTTTGGTGGTCCATCGTGTGCTAACTGAATAACAAAACTAAGTTCACATTTTCTTTTGAATTTACATGTCACCATTTTTACTTCTTATCCTAATTCAGTTGGCTCAACAGAGCCCCCGAACATTCCTGCTCAGATTTTCCTCTTTTCTTCAGGGGTTTATGTCTGCCTAATCAAGGTTCGACCCCAATCAGAGGAGCTGCTCCAGGCCCTCAGCCTGGCTGACACCTCAGTCTATGGGTGGGCCACACTCATCAGTGAACATAGCAAGAACGGAATGCAAAGAATTCTCATTCCTTTCATCCCAGCCTTTTACATCAACCAGTCAGAACTGGTGCTTAGCCACAAACGAGACATCGGGGAGATAAGAGTACTGGGAGTGGACAGAGTTCTTGAGAAGCTAGAGGTATGTTAAGAACTGAACCCAAACAGATCAGTTTTGAAAAAAGAGATTTTTGTGATGATAAAATTCACCGTAGGAAATACTAAGCAGGATGAAGAAAATCTGTCCCATTCAGGAGGGCTCCCAGAGTCTTAAAATCTGGGTCATTAGCTGGAAGATAACACCAATACTATCTTTTTGTTGTTAATCCTCACCCGGGGATAGTCTTTCCATTTATTTATTTATTTATTTATTTATTTATTATTTTTATTTAAAATATTTTTTTTATTGATTTCGGAGAGGGAGAGGGAGAGGGAGATAGAAACATCAATGATGAGAATCATTGATTGGCTGTCTCCTGCATGCCCCCTACTGGGGATCAAGCCCGCAACCCAGGCATGTGCCCTTGACTGGAATCGAACCCAGGACCCTTCAATCCAGAGGCCGACACTCTATCCACTGAGCCATATGGCTAGAGCTCCATTGATTTTTTTTAAGAGAGAGTGGGAGGAGGGGGTGGAAAAGAGAAAAATGGATGCGAGTCACATGGATTGGTTGCCTCCTGTATGCACCCAGACCAGGGCCGGGGATGAACCTGCAACCCAGATACACATCCTTGACCAGGAATCAAACCCACAACCTTTTGGTGTGTGGACCAGTGCTCTAACCACTGCACCACACTGAACAGGGCACCAATGCTCTTAATTAAAAACAATCTTTAAAATTCTAGTTTAAAACTTTTTTGAAGCCTAGTTTATTCTCACAGATCACCTTTTCCCCTTATCATTCAATACATCTAAGTGAAAAAATGCCTTGTTAGCTAAACTAGAAATCCAGGTGTCTGTGTATGTTTAAGATTGGAATATATAGAATACAAAACTGCCTTTTCTTTGTGTGTTTTTGTAAAACTGCCTTTTCTTCTTTCAAACAGTGCTGTTTTCTTTTCTCCAAGGTCTTCCCCAGCTCCCCAGTTCTAGTGGTCTCTGGCCAGAGTCACTCTTCCCTCACACCTGGTCTTGCTATCTACCCCGTAAGAGTAGTCAACTTCACTTCCCTTCAGCAGATGACATCACCTGTTTTCATCAATATTTCCTGTGTGCTCACAGGTCAAAGTGTGGCTGTGCTAGTGAGAGCTAGTAAGAAGTCTGGTGCAGGTGAGCAATGGGGGTCCTACTTTTAATGTAGAGCAGTGGTTCTCAACCTTCTGGCCCTTTAAATACAGTTCCTCATGTTGTGACCCAACCATAAAATTATTTTCGTTGCTACTTCCTGACTGTAATGTTGCTACTGTTATAAATCGTCATGTAAATATCTGATATGCAGGATGGTCTTAGGCGACCCCTGTGAAAAGGTCGTTCGACTGCCAAAGGGGTGTCGACCCACACGTTGAGAACCGCTGATCTAGAGGAAAATAAGGCATTACAATTCAGTTAGTGTAAAACAGTCAGCCACTTGACCAAGATTACTCTCTAACTGGGGCTTGGATCAATTTCCAAGCCCACTGAAAACACAATCTTCAGATAGCTTATCACTAGCTAGATGTGTTACTTAACATATATTTAAGAATAGTCATGTCAGTTTAATAAGTCTGTCAGTTTCCATTCTAAACCTCTTGAAAAATGTTTCACTTTCTTTAAAAGTATTTAGCAGATCTTTCTGCATTAAGCAAAGGGCAAAAGGCGAACCCTAGAAACAAGACTTATTGCCCAAATCCTAATTCTAGCCATTACCCAGTTTAGAAATGCCAATCTGTATGGGATGGGAAGTTGTGGAGAGATGTTAAGCCAGAGAAACATTCTCATGCCACTGGCACTTGCCACTCCCTCAAGGGAAACAATTATTGGGAATGAATTAGGCTGAACCCTAGCACATCTCCTAATGGGAGAAAGATTTGCTTATATAAGCACTTTGATAATGTACTTGTCAATAAATATCCTAAGCATATTTAAATGCATTCCTCTAACTCGAAAGGGTAGATGTTTTTCCCTTTTAGAGCTGAGGAATTGAGGTGTCTAAAGGTCCCCCACTAGAAAGTGTTCAACTCCAATCTGTGCTCTATTAGAGCAGCTTTAAAATCTAGAGTGGATTCTAATCAACTCACTGATTATGAAAGGGATGCTAGGAAAATTAGTAATACACCCGTTTTAGTTGGACTTTGAGCAGTAGGACCTGATCAGGAATTAGTATAGACAATCTTTTTAGTATATGCACTTCAAGAAACCTTATTCTTCAGTGAAGCAGTTATCAAAGAGTAAGGTGAGAGGAGCAGTTTTAAGACTAAAGGTAGAAGGCCTATACTATAGATGCAGAATAGGAAATAGGCATGAGGGCCTGGTCACAATTTATATTGGAAAGCCTGGAAGTTCAGATCATTTGGTGGGACAGGAAGTTCTAGACACTGAAGAAACTGAAATAACCAAAGGCAGATACCAAATATGATTCAAAGACAGGAGTCAAGTTTTATTAAGGACATTATATACAAATCAGAATATTCCCTAGAAATGACATCCTGAGTAAAAATGGGTAAGGGGCCCTTGGATTTAAGAAGTGATTGGGGATCCAAAGAAATGTTTCACGTTACAGGGATTAGAATGAGAAATCAAATCACACCCTGGCCAGATAGCTCAGTTGGTTAGAACATCCCTGATGTGTCAAGGTTGCAGTTTTGATCCCGTCAGGGAACATATAAGAATCAACCAATGAATGCTTGAATAAGTGGAACAAATTGATGTTCCTCCCTCCCTCTCTCTCGTCAATTAAAAATTTTATATAAATCGAATCACCATAGATTGCAACAAATTTAGTTAAAATGCACAGGAAAGGTAAAAGCCATTTTTAAGTGGCAGAAGTTTTAAATATTCCTGTAAGCTGAGAATAATAAATAAGAGGTTCAAGAATTGGAGTTTATTACTTTGGAGATAGGAAAAAGCCAGTAAGAGAAGCCAACCCTTCTCACCTCATGGCACCAAGTAATTTATAAAATTCTGGGCATACCAAAAAAATATTTTTTGCTAATCTGAACAAAAACAAGTTTAGCTTTGATTTATTCACACCGGACAGCTATTGTGTTAGTTCTTTTATTTTTTGTTGTTGTTGTTTTATTGCTTAAAGTATTACAAAGAGTATTATATATGTCTCCTTTTTTTTCCCCGCCCTTGACAATCCCCTGGCCTCCCCTACCCCCCAGTGTCTTATGTCCATTGGTTATGCTTATATGCATGCAAACAAGTCCTTTGGTTGATCTCTTACCTCCCCTCCTACCCCCCAACCCTCCCCGGCCTTCCCGCTGTTAGTTCTTTTAAATCAGTGATGCCGAACCTATGACACGCGTACTCATTTTTTTTGGTTGATTTTTGTTAAATGGCATTTAAATATATAAAATAAATATCAAAAATATGTCTTTGTTTTACTATGGTTGCAAATATCAAAAAATTTCTATATGTGACACGGCACCAGAGTTAAGTTAGGGTTTTTCAAAATGCTGACACGCTGAGCTCAAAAGGTTCGCCATCACTGTTTTAAATCCTCACCCCCAAGGATATGCGTATTGATTTGAGAAGGGTAGGGAGAAACATTGATGTGGGAGAGATCGATTGGTTGCCTTCCACATGTGCCCCGAACAGACTGAACCTGCAGCCTTTCTGTATACAGGACAAGGCTCCAAACAACTGAGCCACACAGGCCAGGGCAGCTGTCATTTTTTAATTTAACAATCTAAGGGGAAAGAGGTCAGTGCAGTCGACTAAATAACCAGGTATTCCATGTTTTAAAAATTGATGTCCTAAAGGGCTGGGTTCCGAGTGCTTCTGCTAGATAGTCTTATGACCACACAAGGTTTTAAATGCAACATCTGGCCTGGATGTGTTATTAAGTAACTATTCTCTTCTTCTGTTCTGGCCAATGCATAGATCAATGTGAAGATTCAGGTGTCCTCCAGTTCATGGGTTCTTACCAGATCCTTTTTACCCTCTTTGTAGTGCTGGCATCAACAGCTTTCATCTTTCTAGGTAAGGAGTCCTTATATCCTTCATTTCAAAAACTGAATAAGGATGAAAATTAGTTGTTTTTGCAGTTGAAACAGATTCAGCCTCCCTAACCCTAGTCACCTATTGGATTAAATAAAGGTCCTGCTCAAGTTACAACTATCACATTGGATGTGGCAAATACCACGCAGAAGTGGATACTGCTAAAGGGCTGGTTTGGGTTAAATTCATCAGCTAGAGATGATTTGGTCTACACCTGCACTTGCCCCATCATTTGGCCAGTTGATAAGGAACTCTAAAAACTGAACAAAAATTTCCTAATTACCATGAAGTTATTTGAAGTCTGACTAAGGCCTTCCTCCAACGAAGGATCTGTCTCTTTACTGACATCTCCCTTGTTCTTATTGCAGCATACAGTGCCTTTCTAAACAAGATACAGACGGTTCCAGTTGTTTACGTTCCAACTCTAGGAGCACCACTGACAGGTAAAGAATCACAATCCTCACCTTCACATTCCAGTATCTGTATCTTACCTTTCACCCATCTCCCTTTCCCATTTGTTTCTAGGTTCTTACGCCTCCACACGTTCTCCCCCTCCATTCCTGAGTCCACAACCCCCGCCAGCCCAGAGTCGGCTACAACACTGGCTGTGGAGTATAAAGCACTAACCTGTACTTAGACAAGTCTCCTTAACTGTAGGAAACTGGAGATTTCTAACCCTTGGCCACCAGAAGCCGCCTAGCAACCACCTCTATACTTATAAGCCTCCAGACAAGGTTTCTGAGAATTGTAAATAAAGGGTCCTGAGCTGTTCTGTTAAAGTGGTGTGCTGGCTTGTGTTTCGAAGAGCAACTTGTTCTTAATTCTAAGAAAACATAACAGTGAAAGTAAATATCTCATTTATATGGTAAACCCCATTTTTAAATCAAGCTCTGAAGATTTACTCAATGAGCCTAGGCAGATAGAAACGTCCCAAATGGACTTTTTAAATACTTGGCTACTTACTTGCCCCAAATGACTAGCAGTCCATTCTTCTGGTTGGCCCTGAATACTTGAGGTAAGAACTTCCTACCAGTAAAACAAGACAATAAACAGGATGTATCCAAAATGTGTTTATTGGGATGGTTTCCCACTCATCTTGATTTGAGGTGCGTTTAGTGCTGCTTCCTTCTGAAGGAGCATCCTGGAAGAAGAAGGTTCAGAAGTGAGCTGCCGGCAGCCACTCCCCCTGCCCCACTCACAGGCCCCATGCCTGACGCCCCACCCACAGGAAAGCCGCTCCTATCACCCACCCATCCTAGCTTCACTCAGCAGCATGTGAGATTAAGAAGTGTGTTGTGTCTGGTAATACAACTCCCTTTTACAAGTCTGGCCATTTACATTACATATGATCCTTTCTCTGAGATCCAAAGCCAAAAGACATTTGAAAGCATGTACCTTCTGTAAGCCTTGCTTTTCCTCCTGTCGGCTGACAGAGAACAGTGGAGCAACCAACGCACAAAACTACCGTTTGTGCATGGCTAAAGACGGTGGTGATTTTGTAGCATCCTGGAAAAAACGTCAAGGGGTTGTATTTTTTTCCACGCCTTTCTTCACTTACACATCAACTAGAATGTATTAACTCTTAAGACCTGCATGTTATGTAAACTTTTGAAATTGACTCTCCTATTGGAAACTCCATTACCTGGGTCTAGGTACACCTTAATGCCAACTCAGAAGCAATATGGACCGCCTGCCCCCACCTGTGCATTTCTGGGTAACGTGTGACTAGCATCCTAGAGCTGACAGGGAAAGGCGTGGAGTCAAAAACAACGCGTAGGTCAAAAAATAGCGGCTCCTCCCTCCGCTTTGGAGGGAAGGAGGGTGGGCAATGGGTGGCACCCACCCCTCTCCTCCGGGTGCCAGTGCGTCCATGCCCGGGGCGGAAGCACCGCACATCAGCCCGGCTTCTAGCACAAGGGCAGGGGGTTGGTACACGGGGTTCTGATGGGACGTCACTCCGGGTCACTCCACCTAAAGCACAAAATCTCACCCGCCTCGCGCGTTCAAATCCAAGAAATCGGGGCGGCTCCGCGGAGACGCCGCCGCTCACACCCCGCCCTCTCCCCGCTCCCGGACCCCGTGCGCCGCCCGCCGCCGGCCTCACCTGGGCACTTGACGTCCATGAAGTAGGAGTTGGGGCTCTGCACCAGGCGCTTCTTCTTGTGCTTCCTCTTCTCCTCCTCCGGGGAGGGGTGCAGGAGGTCCTTGGCGAGCTACGAGGCGGAAAGGGAGACACTCAGAGACCCGCGGCGGGAACGGGGGGAGCGGACGCGGCCCCCGCGGCCACACACCGGGGAGCGCCGGCCCCTCGCCGCGCCGGGTGTCTGCGCGGCCGCGCCGCAATCTTATTCCCCGCTCCGTCCCGCTTGCCCCGCGGGCTCTGCGGTTCACGTCCCCCGGCGGCGCGGAGGGGAGGGCCGGGGAGGGCCCCCTGCGATCCGCGCCCGGCGCGAGGAAAGCGGGCGGGCGGAGGAGCGAGATCGCCGCCGAAACCTGCCCCCAGGAACTCACAGGCATGTCGTCGCGGGGAGGCCGTCACCGCCGGAAAGGGGCGGAAGCGGAAGTCCTTCTCCTTATATCCGCCACCCCGCCGGAAGTGACGCCTCGGGACCCGGCGGCCATGTTGGGGAGGTCCGCCTGCCACCGCGGCCTGCGGTGGGGCGCGAGGAGGGCTGCCTTTGTCGGGGGGTCGGCAGCGGCCGGCCCGGCGCCCCGACGCGGGTCCGGGCTGCGGGAGCTCGCGAGGGGGTGAGGGGAGCGTCTCGCCGCCGGTACCGACAGGTCACCAGTTCGAGTCCTGATGGGGCCACTCGCCTGGTTTCGAGGTCAGGTCCCCAGTAGGGGGCGTGCGGGAAGCAGCCAATTGATGTTTCGCTCCCTTTCTCTCTCTCTCTCTAAAAAAAAAATTAAAAAAATGGAAAAAACATTCTAAAAATTTTTTTTCAAGGCAAACCTTTATCCAGGGGTAAATGGACAATTAGAATTTCCTGCTAACTTTGACAGTTGGAGCCTAATAAGTAGGAACTTCTTAGGAAAACAACCAGACCAAGCTATGTCCGGACTTCTTAAATGTCTTTATTATTTTTCTGTTGGTTTCGTTTGCCCACTTTAAACAATTCAGAAATGTAAATATAAAAAAAAAAAAGTAAAGTCCTTTCCTGGCCGGTGTGTTCAGTGGTTGGGCGTTGACCTAGGAACCAGGAGGTCACCGTTCGGTTCCCGGTCAGGGCACCTGCCCAGGTTGCGGCCTCCATCCCCAGAAGGGCTAATCGGTGTTTCTCTTTTTCCCTCTCCTTTCCTCTCTCTCTCAAGTTAATTTTTTTAAAAAGTAGAGTTCACATATTTCCTCCATCCCCAACCTACTCCTAGAGTTGTTAATTTTATTGTCAACTTCCCATCCTTACCTCTAATAATAATAATTACATCAAACACATAATGCTTACTAGGTGCATTGTTCTGCTTTACATATATTAATCTTCATAACAACTCTTACCAGGTTGATACTGTTATTGTCCACATGTTACAGATTAGGAAAGTGATGCACAGAGAGACTGTCCAAAGTACGACTCCACTGCCTTCCCCAAAACTTGTGCCATTTGCATCCCTACATCCTTTCCCCACATTTTCACCAGTAATGCCTTTCCAAGATTTCTAATCTTGGCATCACCGGCACCCAGACAGGAAAGGAGAAGAAAGGAAAAACGAAAACTTTGAAACATCATCTTCCCATGTCCATTTGTCATAAAGGAGGAAGGAAGATGACACAAATGGCATTTAGGGATATGCTTATTTCCAAAAAAAGGGATGTGAGTTTCAGTCAGGGAAGTGCTGGTAAAAGTTTAACAGGTTCTATGGAGGAGCGCCCTGAGTTTGCTAATTTCAGTGGTGACATCGTTAAACATGGAGTTGATAGAGATATTCACAGAGCCTGTAAGAACTGGTTTCAGTATGTCAACCGTAATTGAAATTTTTTTTAAGTTATTTAAAAAAAAAAGAAAAAGAAATGGTCAGTAAAACCTCTAAGGGAGCTGAAATATCAAGGACAAGGAGTCAACCCTGCAACAATCTAGGAAGAAAGCATTTTAGGCTGAGGGAAGAGTTTGTGAATACAAAACCCAAAGCCATGCCCTAACCGGTTTGGCTCAGTGGATAGAGCGTCAGCCTTCGGACTGAAGGTTCCTGTGTTCGATTCCCATCAAGGACATGAACTTGGTTTCGGCCATATCGCCAGTAGGGGGTGTGCAGGAGGCAGCTGCTCGATGTTTCTCTCTCATCGATGCTTCTAACTCTCTATCCCTTTCCCTTCCTCTCTGCAAAAAACCAATAAAATATATTTTTTTTAAAAAAACCAAAGCCAGAATGAATCTGTCACAATTGAAGGGGAGAAAGGGATTGTTACCAAAGCTCTGAGAGCTAGGCAGAGAGTACTACAGAGATGAGGTTCCAGTGAAAGTAGGTGTACGCCAGCATGAGTACATTTTATTTATTTTTTAAAGATGTTTTTATTTATTTTTTAGAGAAAGAGGAAGGGAGAGGGATAGAGAAAGAAAAATCAATGATGAGAGAAAATCATCAATCAGCTGCCTCCTACACACCGCCTCCTAGGGATCAAGCCCGAAACCTGGGCAATGCCTTAACTGGGAATCAAAGGAGGGGGAGGACCTCTTGGTTCCTGGGTTGACGCTCAGCCACTGAGTACACTGGCCAGGCAGCACGAGTACATTTTAGAGAGGTGAGCAAGAATAATAAACTGCAGGGGATGAATAGTCCAGGTTCAGGAAAAATAAGATGAAAAAAAAAAAAGGAACTAATGGATTATATTATCAGAACAATCCATGAAAATGGAACAGTAATTTAAAGGACTGCCCAGCTGGTGTGGCTAAAGGACTGATTAGAGATGGTTTGACCAGTGAGGAGAAAAAAATAAAAGAAGACTCAGCTCGAAGACACGCGGGAGGTGAGAGAATGGACAAAAAGGGAACTGGATGGTTGTGTTTGAGAAGGGGCAAACAAGAGCACAGAAAGTGACCAAGATAAGTGAAATAACAAAAGATGCCTTCTCACAGCCAGTACACTGTGTTTATACAAGGACTATTCTACTGACCCGTGGTTAGAAAAGCAGATAATTCTGAATAATTCTTTTCCAAGGCAGAGATACATTTGTTTCTTTATAGCCATGCTCTCCATACTTCAGCTTCCTGGTTGCCAAGGCCACCCATTCACAGCCTGTTCAGTGGGGTAAGGGCTGTGTGAAGAGCCACATCTCATCAGAAGAATGAGACCAAACATTTGTTGTCCCAATCTCCACCTTTCTGAGCTGGTTTACCAGAGAAATCACACACAGAATCCCAGAAGGAAGACTGTTCCAACTGAAGCCCCAGAATGTGTCTAGATCAGCGGTTCTCAACCTGTGGGTCGCAACCCCTTTGGGGGTCGAACGACCCTTTCACAGGGGTCGCCTAAGACCATCGGAAAACACATATATAATTACATGTTGTTTTTGTGATGAATCACTATGCTTTAATTATGTTCAATTTATAACAATGAAAATGCATCCTGCATGTCAGATATTTACATGACGATTCATAACAGTAGCAAAGTTGCAGTTATGAAGTAGCAACGAAAATAATTTTATGGTTGGGGGTCACCACAACATGAGGAACTGTGTTAAAGGGTCGCGGCATGAGGAAGGTTGAGAACCACTGGTCTAGATGAAGAGACAAGTGTTGCGCGGGGGTGGGGCTGATTCTGTGGTATAATTACTGTTAATTTCCACTCT